TAGGTTTTTCTCTCTGAAGGAATAATTTACTTACTCCAGAAGGGGGTCCAATAGTTTGCTAATTTTCATGCAGGGTGGATGGTAGAGAAAGAAGACAGGACAAAAAGCTGAGTTACTTGGTTTGACAAAGACTCACGTAACACCTGCCTGTGGGTAAAGCAGTCTAAAATGTGGTAAGAAGCTTATCCAGCTTATCTGTTCACTCTGTTGAGGATTCTGAGGAGTTGAATTTGTGCCTTTCTATACTGTTCTTACCAAAAATAACGTCTGTGGACCTAGAAAGCTGTGTGTCTAAAGACATATAACTTGGATTATTTCCTTTAACTGTATGCAGTGGAATGCACTTCTTCCTGCTTCATTAACAAGTTCATTTTAGTTTGGGTGAGATGGTTTAGAGTGAGGTGTCCCTGCCCATGGCAAGGGGGTTGGAACTAGATGATCTTAAGGTCCTTTCCAACCCTAACTATTCTATGATTCATTTTTTAATCTATATGGTTTTAATGGAGAATTTATAAATAACAAAGGGATTCTAACACTCCAAATATAGAAATAAATCCCAAGTATGCAGAATTGTCAGATACATACATTATATTTTCATAACATTGGAGATTAACCACCATTAACTTCTGAGTTTTTATCAAGTTTCTTTCCTTCTGTTTTGGGCAATCTCTTTATTGGTTAAAAAAAATGCCCTGTTTTGCCTTTTTGTTTGTTTGTTTCTTTGTTTATTTTGTTTGGTTTTGTTTGGGGTTTTTTGTTTGTTTGTTTTCTCCTGAAGGTTGGAAATACCTGTCTCCACCATACATGTTTTGTGCATTAGCCTGTATCACGTACCTTGGACTTGATCTCAATGAATGCTCCTTCTCACTGATAATGTATTTCAGGCTCCACAACTATTCACAGGATCTTAGCATCATAGATTACCAAGTTGGAAAGGACCTCAAAAATCATCTGGTCCAGCCTTCCTTGGCAAAAGCACGGTATAGATGAAATGGCCCAGCACCCTGTCCAGCTGAATCTTAAGTGTCCAACGTTGACGAATCCACCACTTCCATGGGGAGATCATTTCAGTAGCTCACTGTTCCTATTGTGAAAAATTTTCCACTTGTGTCCAACTGGAATATCCCTGGGAGTAACTTCATTACCCCTCATCTTTTTCATGTAACTCTTTCTAAAAAATGAGCCCCCATCTTCTTTGTAGATGCCCTTTAAATACTGGAACATGGTCATAAAATCTCCCCTGAGCCTTCCTTCTTCTTTTCTCAAGGCTGAACAAACCTACTTCTCTCACCCTGTCTTCATAGGGCAGGCTTCCCAGTCCTTGGATCATCTCTGTGGCCTTTCTCTGGACCCTCTCCATTCTGTCCACACCTATTTTTTATAGCAGGGACCAAAACTGAATACAGATATTCCAGGTGTGACCTGACAAGTGACAGTGGAGTGGGATAATGACTTTCATCTCTGCTGCTGAGGTCCTTGTTGATGTAACCCAGCATCCTGTTGGTTTTCCTTGCCACAGCAACACACTGTTCACTCATACTGACCTTGTTCTCCACCAGGACCCCCAAGTCCCTTTCCATAGAGCTGCTCCCCAGCCGAGTAAATCCCAGCCTGCCCTGCACTCTTGGATTGTACTTACCCAGGTGCAAAACCTTATACTTGTCCTTGCTGAGCATCATAAAGTTCTTGTTAGCCCACTCTTCTTCCAGCCTATCCAGGTCGTCCTGCAGGGTGCCTCCTCTGCTGTCCAAGTTGTCCACTTCCCCAGTCAGTTTGCTATTACTGGAAAACTTGGACGGAGTATACTTGATCCCATCATTCAGATCACTTATTAAGATATTAAACAGTGTTGGGCCCAATTTTCATCCCTGAGGGATCCCACTTGTGACGGTTGATATACCCTACTGGTTGCCAGTTTGAAAAGGAGCTATTGTCATTTACCACCATCCTTAGGGTCCAACTGGTCAGCATTACCTTTATCTTCCTAGATACATGTTTTTCTCTGTGTATTATTGTACTGCCACCAAAATACTTGATTCAATGACTTTTTCCCTCCCTTAAAAAAAATAATTACTAAGTTAAACTGATCCCTTCAGATAATTTGCACTTATTCTTGAGAATACAAATGGCAGTTCTGTATGCCTCTGGTGTTTGTTTCTCATGACCTATCTGGTTTATATTATATAGTTTGATTGGTTTTGTTGATTTTCTATATTCAAAGTCTAACACTGGCAGAATAGCAGTTCTTTCCTCTCTTAGCACTTATGATCATCATGTAGTAGTGTCAGTAGTGACTGGACAAGGGCTTGTGGCTTTAAATTCAAGGAGGGGAGATTCATACTAGACATAAGGAAGAGATTTTTTTACCATGAGGGTGGTAAAACTCTGCAACAGATTGCCCAGAGGGGTGGTGGATGTGCCATCCCTGGAAACATTCAAGATCAGGCTGGATGTGGTACTGGACAACTTGATCTAGTTGAGGATGTCCCTACGCATTGCTGTGTGGTTGGACTAAGTGACCTCTAAAGGTCCTTTCCATCTCAATCTATTCTATGATTCTATGATCATGACCAAAACCACCACTAGGTAAACTCTTCCTCTGGTGTCTGCTAGTGCATTTGCAGCTATGAGAAGAGGTGAAGAAAACACTCTATATTCAGCTTAACAGACATGACCTTAGCGAATTCTTAAGTGAATTTTCTGTTATCACTAGTAATCAGAAAGCTCAGCGCTGTGGGAGGAACACTGCAAAAATTAAGAAATGAGAATGCAGATAATCCTCTCTTTGGCTCTGCTACCCCCAAAGAACAAAATGGAAATGTGTTCTCAGTTTTGCACTGTTAATAATCTATCCAAATCAAGGTTTATAGGACATACTCCTCACTCCTCCCCGTTCAGATGTTTTATTGGGCAGTGCAGAAATGAAAGATTCCCAAGACCAGTAAGACAGAGAAAGAAGATAGATCCATGCTCTGTAGTCCAATGTAACTAACGATTTGGAAGCAAGAAGTGCTTTCAGATAATCTGGTTCCAGCTACAAACATACGTTTCCATTACCTTATTCATTTTAGTGGAAAATTCTCAAGGAGACCTTGCAGAAGGGACTGGAATATGGGACTACTCCATCTCAGGGAAGAGCTGTTAGCACTGGTAGATTCCTGTTTGTGCCTCTGTCATTATCCCTCCGGCTTCTTTATGCCTAGCCTAAATTCTGAACAAAAGTGGAAGATGCACTAGAGCTTCCATTCTTATGGTCAGAGCACTGCTCTGGTAGCAGAACACAGGAAGAATAAAAGCAAAATCTACTTTGAAATGTTTGGTTTTTTCCTTTTTGTTTTAGTTTTTTTTCCGTCAGCTGAAATTTGCTTGAAAGAAAGGTTTTTCACAGAACTCTTGGTGAACCTGAATTGGAACTGACATACCAAAATTCTTATGCAGTCATATAAAAAAAACAAACAATAAATAAACAAACAAACAAACAAAAAAACCAAACCTCTAAAGTTAATGTCACTAAATGTTTTTAGCTGTTGCTTTTTTTCTTTTCTTTTTTTTTTTTTTTTTCCCCAAGGTGAACTGATGAGCAAACTATTATGGGCTTGAACTGAAAGAATTTTTCAAATCAGCCTATACTGGAAATATAACTAAAATTCTTCACTGATTAAAGCCTCTGGGTTTAATTTATCCCTGCTCTGGAAAGACCATATATTATGTATTCCACTTTGTTCATGAATTACTGAACTAGTTTGCAATGCTATATGTTAACTTTATATATTCCCACTCTCCTTCTGCAACTCTGCTTCTGAATGGAATTAGCTGAGTCAATAGGTGCTATTCTGAACTTAGCACTACAGAAAGACAGATAAGTTGGCATACAGATGCCGAATTTACTTGTTCATGGATTTCAAATGTGTTAGGTACCAGTCAGTGTTGAGAAGCTTTTTCTTAAGATAGTATAAGGCATTCAGTAAGTCTAGTGTTGAAAATGTCAGTGCCCATGGGTGATCAGGCAAGTATGCAGTTAGGTAAGTGCAGTATGAAATAATAATGATGGTGCAGATTTGTGTAGCATTTGGTGTAGTTAATATTTCATAATAAGTGGATCTAGCCTAGAGAAAGCAGCAGACAACTAGATTATTTAGATGTTATGTTCTTTCATATTCAGATTAATCACACAACCTTGTAGTTTCCAGTTTTGTTTGCATTCTTTTCAAATGTCTCTGATATAAATTTCCAAAGTGGGGAGCAGGAGACTTTTTACATAAAGCATCATAACCATTGTAATGACTTAACTGGTCCTTTTAGTAGTTATACTCAATACTTATCTTTATATATACTTTATATGTATACTTACTATATATATATACTTTTTATATATATACTTACTATATATATACTTTCTGTTAACTTCTCAGTGAGAAAAGGCTAATTGTCATTCTCTCTATTTGTAACTCTCTTTCTGCTATCTATCATGGTTATATTTAACTGAAAAAAAGAAAACCCAGCCTTCTGTATGTAGCAGTAGCTCATAAATGGTGCTAGAGCCCCTTTAAATTTTGGAATCTCTAGTATTTTGGTGCTCCAATTCTTCAAAGTACAGTGATTTACAAATGTGTGCAACAGTAGAGGCTCCCTTTTTATTACTGAATTGAATACTATTTCTCTGTCAACGCATTGTGACAATTCAAGTAGTACATTTAAGTAGTCTAGTATTTTATTCTTCAGAGTGGCATCAACTACTAGGGCTAATTTGGGGCATTGTAGAATAGAAGCTGTGACAGCAACAGAACTGAGCTTAAGGAAATAGGATCCTTAAAAATGTGCAGTGCAGTATCTTATCATGTTACTCCCGAGTCCACCCACACCCTAATCAAACACATACTCTTATCACATGTTTTAATGTCATTGAAGTTGCAGCTGGCTTCTGTACTGCAGGATTTCCTGTCCCAAAGGGCAAGGGGTCGTTTGAAGTTTAAAAAGTCTTGATGAAGCATAAACCATTTTAAAAGAATGGCAAGCAAACAATGTATGGCCTGGGTATGCCAAAGTGTAAAAGATTGCCCAGAAATCTTTTAATTCTCAGCAGAGATCAATGCAGTTAACTCCGTGTCCTACATGTATCTTTCCCTGCAGATTTCTGCGCTTGCATGCAGAACGCTCTTTGCTTTCAGTCACTCGAGAGAAAAAGGCTGTTTCAAGGCATGCTCTCCCGCTTTGTTCTTCCCCAGTGTCCCCGTCCGTCCCCTCCATCCGGCGGTGGGAGAGGCAGGGCAGGATGTGCTGTCAGGAGAACCCACCTAGAGGTCCCCCTTGACGCCAGCACAGCCTGCTTCTGCCAGGCAGAGCCCGCACCGCAGCCGAGCCTAGTCTGCTGCAGAGTAAGTGCCAGAGCGTCCAGCCCGCGAGTGTCCGGAGCCGCTCCCGGGCGAGGACACGGGCAGCCCCGGGGGCAGCCTGGAAATTCCCGTCAGGGGAAAGGAAGCAAGAGCCTGTTGCCTGCGTTGCTTCAAAATATATGCCGTCTCTGTGGCTTGGGCTTAAGAATCATCCCGAAGAGTGATAACTACTGTCTGGGAGCTGAATTGGGGGAAAAAAGGACAGCAGAGGAGGAATGCTTAGGTAACACGGGACTTAAAGCTTTGCTTTCATTTTGCAACATACAAATCGCTGCACGTGGTTTTATATACAGCATAACATCAAAGTAGAAGGGGGTTCTGCAGTGAGAGTCAATAGCTTAGTCATTTTACTTAAAGGGAGCAGGGAGCCTTATTGGGAGGTTAGACAGCAAAATGAATTTGATCATGATATAATCATGTCTCGTGATGGTATCTAACTGTAGTCCTGTCCTAAGGAGTGGAAGAAGCATACTTCCTTCCTTCTTTCTTAGTTGAAGAAACAAACCCACAGTATCAAATACTGAGAGAAGTTTGGGTTTGCTCTACATGGCTATTAAACATCTCACCGTTCACCGGGCTTGTAAGAAAGGAAAACTGCATTAAAGTGCTTACTGATGAATATGTGTCTAAGAAAGAAGAAAAAGCAGTATTCATTTCTGAACATGGGAAAGAAATCTGAAGTTACACCTCTACCCCTAACCACTGATTTGGCACAGATGACAAGAAACTATGTTTTGACTAACCTTTTCCAACTGTCCAAAATGTTGCATATGAAGATGCTTTAATTCACAGTCAAAGCACTTGGATTTTTATCAAGGCAAGCTGTTGTCATTGTCATAACATTTTCTGTATACTGATTAGTTTAGTTTTTTTTTAAGCAGCAAGTGATGCATAAATGGATGGACATGTACCTAGAAAACCCTGTAAGAAGTCTTTCCTTGAATCCTGGGAATTTTTATGGATTACAGTAATTCTTGCAATAATCCCTGCTGTTAACTGCTCATGCAGTTCTGGAATGAACCTATGAATACCATAACAGATAAATCAGTCTGACAAGGAAAACACTGATGTTGGAAGATTTATGAACATGATGCACGTGAATAATTTCCCCTTTAGGAGGCATTCATGGATATGGTGAGTAATCAATATACACATTACACATTGTTAAACTCAAAATGCTTGTTTGCAAAATACTGTGGCAACTACCAGATGCTATGTTTTGCCTACACTGTTGTTGAATGAGGACTAACTGGGCCATCAGAAAAATGAAAATCTTACAGAGATAGAACAGTGATGAAGTAATGTGAGTTTGGCACTCTTTACCTTTACAAAATAGGCAAATCATAAAAAATGTTATGGTCATGATTTTTTACATGATAAAAGCCTTTAGAGCAGGGAGATGTATTTTCTCCCTGTATATCAATGGAACACTTCTTCCCAGTTCTTAGCCTGACTTGAAGGAATTAATGAAGACATATTTTTTCCCTATGGTATTGTGTTGTTTGTCCAGGAGCTCATATATTTATGTACATTCAAGTGACCTGAAAACAAGAAAACAATGCTCATTAATGTGATAATTCAGTAATCTTTAAGAAATACATTTGTATGATAGTTTCCTAATTCTGGCTGTTCAGAAGACGATCCCTTTATCATCATTAAAACATCTGTTTCCTCTGAACCACAGGCATCTATAGTTCTTGCTCACCTAAAAAGCCTTCCCTTTAACTTTGTTTGCAGTACAATGGAGTTAACTTGCTTATAAATTCTACCAGTGGTTGGGTTGTTGCGTCATGTCTTGCTCCCCATGTTGGAATTAATGCCTTGATTAATGCTCAAGGAGTATTTTTAGCAAAGGTGTAAGTGCTTCTTCATGTATTCATATATGTATATAAAAAGGAAACTTTAGCTTTTTCGGGTATATACTGAGTCTTTTAAGTATTAGAACCAGTATTATGGAACCTCCTTAATACAAGTGCATTTAAGTCGTGGAATTGGCGTGCGCGTGCATGTTCGTTTGACAGCTTTGTGCTCAGCCTGCGTTGGCCTCTGCCTGTCGCTGGGCTCAGGGACACCTCAGAAGGACTCCTCCCCGGGAAATGTGTTAGCGAAGCTCTCCGCCCGCGCTATTCTCCTGTCATTTACAAGTTGTGCTTCAGAAGCCTGTCCAGCGCCGAGCCCCCGGAGCCGGGCAGCCGCCGCGGTGTCGTCACGCGGGTGTCATTGGCCTGAGCCAATGGTAGGAGCCGAGCGCAGATTCGTCATAGAGGAGGGGGAGGTGCAGGGGGAGGTGGGGGGGATGCCGGGCGAGGCGCTGCCGGCTGCTGAGCCGTTGGGACGACGGTTTAGCCATGCGTTCCTCTGAACGCATCTTTCTTTAATTACATTTCATTCCACCTTTCAATAAGACCATTTTGGTCTACATAAAGTCCCCTTAGAGCCAACTTCAAACCACATCACCTAGAAAGATGAATAATGTCATCCTGAATGTGTCACCTTTGGCAGCTTATTTAGCAAAGTGTGCTGGAAACGGTACTGCAGTCCACACCTAACAGGAAGACTGTTCCCATTGTCTTGGAAGAATTTGGCCTACTTCTGCTTTTAATAACTTCGAGAAATTATTTTAAGTATGTTTTAACCCCCAAGGTTCACATTCTGACTAAGCAGTTTTCAAACATGGGCCCTGAATTGTGCTGCAAGGCATTTGGAACAAACCAAATTATTTTTATTTATCCTCCCTAAGTGGTAGTTACCTGGTTTCTCCCTGTGCTCCTTGCCAGCCCCTTGCTGTCTGCCACAGTAAATGAACCCATTGTCTAGGAAAAGCCTGGCAGAAGTGTTTGCTGGGAAGATACATAAAAGATAATTATACGTTCTACGTTTACTATTTTAACTGAATGCAAAATATACCATGCCTACGTTTGTGCTTACTGAATCACACATCTTAATTTAGAATGTAAATTAGTTTAACATGCTGTAGTACACCCCAGCTCTCAGAGAATTGGAAAATTTGCTTATTCATGATACAGTAGGTCTGTAAGGAGCATTTATGGGTGCCAGGGTTTTAAGTTGGCAGTCATAGCTTTACTGTTATTTTTGAACCTTCACAAATCCATGTATTGCCTATAAGGTATAGCAACCTTTTCTTTGTGAACAGGAATTGGCACAAAGGAGAGTTTTCTATATGTGTATAACCTCCCATCGTGCTACTTTCAGATGTCCATTGAGGGATGATAATGAAGGTAAAGGAAAGGATATCTTTGCTTTAGAGATGTTGCTTTTTTAAGGTATCTGCTGTACATTAGAGACATGCACTTTGCCTTCATGTGCTAGTTTCTCCTCATCTCACATGAATATGGGGAGGAAGAGTTGGGGAGGTGGAGGATAAAAAAAATTAACCTTCTGAAAGTTGATTCTTTCAAATGTCCTGGCTTTTAATGTTGAGGAACCAGTCAAGGTTATGGTTGTGTTTTTCATGGTTAGGCATCTATGTGGGTTTAGGGAAGGAATAGTCAAAAAGTGATGACCCTGAGAGTAGGGTTTGATTGTGAACTCATAAGCTTTTGGCAGTGTAGAAAATTCCAGTGTCTAAACCTTCCTGGCATTGTTAGTAATAGGTAGGAACTGACTACTGGCCAAAACCAGCTATAAAATATATATGGTCCCAGGCAGTACAAATGGAAACACAACTGTATCGGACAGATAAGAGTAGCTATAATCTGAATGGACTCACTCTAAAGGACACATAAAACTGAGATTGGAGTACACAAAAAAGAAGTATTTTGTCTGAAGCTGTTTCAAACAGTTTGGATTGTAGAAAAGCAAATACAAAATACATCTGATAAATGGGATGCAGTGGTTGGGGTAAGTGGTGTCCTGGGTGAGGTTAAGTTAATCCTAGCAATAGTGAGAAGCATTTGAGATGATAGTAGAAGGAGCAGTAGGATTTCATAACTACTTACCACATTACACACTATGCAACATAAATTATGTATTAACAATATGCAGTTTACTGCCATTCACACTGAAAACAATTTTAGAAACATTTACCACTGAGTTATATAACCTGGCTTTCCTTTCCATTACATTTTATCTGCTTTTTGATGCCAAACTGAATAAATGTGTTATTCAATTTTGTGTTGCCTAATTGCGCAAACAAATATTGCATGTGCCTTTTACCTTTACCGTAGGAATCAGAAGTGAAAAACCTGTGTTCACAGAATCATAGCATGGTCTGGGTTGGAAGGGACCTTAAAAGATCATGTAGTTCTAACCCCCCAGCCACAGGCAGGAACACCTTCCACTAGAATAGGGTTCTCAAAGTGCCGTCCAACCTGACCTTGAACACTTAAAGGGATGGGGCACCCACAACTTCTCTGTACAACCTGTTTCAGTGCCTCACTACCCTCACAGTAAAGAACTTCTTAGACTCATACAATAGTTATATGTTATCCTTTGCTTGAGACTAATTTGATGACTAACTACCTTTTTGAAAAGCACCTTAGTAAATCCCTGAATGAATGCAGTTGTTAATAAGGTTCTGCCTTCTGTTTTTGGCAGTATTCTAAAATAATGATACTAAATGGTCTATTTGGTACATCTTATAGAACCCCGCATGGCTTTTAGCCAGCGAAAAATGGTTTCTTTCCATGGTTATGCAACTTCTTCCATTTTGTGAGACTAGAACAATATGTAACTGAAGAAAGCTGATGGAAAATGAAGATCTCAATGCTAATGTATGAAATAAACTTTTCATTATGTTCTTAGGACACGATGAGTTATCTTAGCTCACTAAGGTATCTTGGGGAACTGAGTCTGACCAGTGCTATGCTCATGGCGTGACTCTTCTAACTCAAACCAGGATGAAATGTTTCATGTAGATGTTTACTCATTTGCTTGTTCTGGAAATTTTTGTGTATTTTATACTTAGAGGAGAAAAGAAGCTTCTTTCTGAACCAGTTTTCATCACAGTATTTAACTAAGTTTTAGATATTTTATACTTAAGACATTAATACAGAAACTGTGAAGAGTGTTTCAGTTCTTCCCATGGAGATCTGAGTTTGGACCTGAATTTGTAGAAGAAAAATCACTATTTCTTAAAGTAAGAAAAAATCTTTTGAAGACCAAGGAATTTTTTTTTAACCATAATCTTCTGTGGCTAAGAGATATTCACAGTACTGCTAAGTAAGAAAGGTCACCTTATTCTCTGTTTTCTTATGCTCAGTGACAGGTGTTACTTTCCTTCAGGCATTGCTGAAGTTTATTCCTCAAGTAAGGGTGAGTGTAGGAAGATACAGTAAAATACTGAATGAAACAAAGTTTTCTTTTCAAGACACCTTATATAACCGATGGCACTTAACTGGCATTCATCATGCTGAATGTCACTGAGAGATGAAGATATGTCTACTTTTTGCAAATAGGGCAAGGGTCTTTGGTTACAATTCATGTTAGCAGTGCTTTGACTTTATGTAATGCTTCCATATGAAAAGCTGAAATTTCAGTAGTCAACTAAGCCTGGGAACACCGCTGATGGGTAGGTTAGGGACGTATCTGTAAATTTAAATTACATCCCTCACAATGGAAGTGCTCTATGTTTTTCTACACAATAGTTATGGCACTTTTGCATGGAAAATTTCTGTGCACGATATAAGCAACTGCTGTTCCTCTTTTTGGGCATCCTAAACAGATAAGTATGCAGTTGGAACTTAATCTGTTGTTCCAGAATGAGCCCAGTTAACCTGCATTTACAGATGACTAATGGATTAATCTTTATATTACTGCAACTGATTAAAATTAAACTTTTATGTTTTTGAAATGTGGACTCTTGCCAAGGACTGCCTTTTGTTTTTCTGTCCTCAGTGTATGACCTCATAAATGTGTCCTTTGGATGCTTTTTTTGTTTGTTTGTTTTTAATTTCGACATGAAAAGCTTTGAAACATATTTTTCATTAGAACTAGAGTACATCTTTTATCCAGTCATTTTTAGGCTGTTAGTCAAGTTATTTCTTGAAGGATCCTATAAACTTGCAGAAAATCTTGCTTTCCCTGGATGTAATTCTAACTTATATCTTCAAGGAAACTCAAGTCACAGCAGTAGAAACTAAGTTGAAGCCTCTTTCTCTCACAAAACACCTGTT